AAGTGGTAGAGCCGTGTTCTTCAACTATACTTCCCAAGCTTTCATATTAGATTGGCGGGAAGTGATTGCAAGGTCGATTGCAGTGAATTCATAATTATTGTTAGAAGTAGGGAGTGGTTGATACAACCCCACGGAATGACAAAAATGTTGAAACCGATCAACTTCTGAAGTTTACGTTTTTACAACGAAATTCTCAGGTATAGTTTTTATTTGACGACCTCCGTGGTCGAGTGGTTTGTACGCCGGGTTTCATGGTGTCGCCGACTCGAGAGGTCCCGGGTTCGAATCCCAGTGGGGGCAGACGTTTGTGTGATGAATGCGAGCATTTGTACTCCAGTCATGGATGTTTAATATGTATTTCTATATAAATATACTTATATATGTATAGTATATGTATTCTATCCGTTACCCTTGTATCCCATAACACAAGCCTTACAGTGCTTACTTTGGAGCTAGGCTAATTGGTGTGAGTGTTGGAAATATTTATTTATTTATTTATTTATATTGTTGCTGGGTTGCCGTGATAAATTATGCTATTACGAAGTTCAGACCAGATTTTATGAAATTCATTTGACATCCTGGAATCTATAATTGATTGTAATTTTTCCTTTTGTTTTTCAGTTCTTAGATCTGAGTCATTTATATGTATTACTTAATACTAAATAAAGATTTAGTTATTTATAAGATTTACACAGCTTACATGAGGTGTGCATGTACTATTCGTAGGGTTTGAAGTATATTTATTCCAGACAGTCGTGGCAAGGTTAGAAAGCGTAAGTTTAATATTAAGAACAGTTTTACTAAAATAACATTTTTTACTAAAATAACATAAAGTGGATAATTGCATACAATGATCTTCAAAACCTTTCAAGAATTTGGTAGATCGTGCAATCTTTCTTCAGTACTAGCGGTGGGCATTTAAACGAAAAGCGCTTAAATAAGCGCGCTTAAAATATTAAGCTTGTAAGCACGCTTTTAAGTATAAGCTTTATAAGCTTATCACTTAAAAAGTGTGAGTAAGCTTTTCACTTAAAAAAGTGCAAGTATATTTTTTACTTAAAAAGTGCAAATCCCGTCATCTATGTCTTTGCCAGGAAACTACATACTTCGATCCTTCTAGTCCACTACAGTATCGTAAAATGGGTACGCGGAATTCCTTGGTACTAAATATTTCACAATATCACAGACATAGAACGCGCGACTACAGCGCCGCGTCGGCGTGCCATCTTTCGTGAGCCGGTTAATACAGAATGCGAATTATTATAATGCGACGTAAAAAAATGCACTTTTTTAAAATTTTCGTTAAAAGCGTTTAATTAAACGAAGTCGAAAAGCAGTACGCTTGTCACTGTGACGGGGTAAGAGCGCGTGGGTGTTGTACGGTGTGTTTGCATGCTTGCTTGACGTGTTAATGCGTTTCGTGTATTGGTTTAATGTGCATATAAAATAGTTAAAAGTATGTATATAAAATCAATGAACTTTTAAGTACGCCTGGATCACGAGTATATTAACTCCAGACAGTCCTAAGCTTGTAAACTAAGAAGGAAAGTTCATTGACTATTATAAAAATGTTTATTATAAAATCTAAATTCAATTGAAAATCTTTCGTTTTTAATGCCAATCAATTCATTAGGTTTAAAACAAAATTTTAATAAAAATTTCATTAATAAGAAGAAAAAACGCAATAAAACACTTAAACACATTAAAAACGACAGTACTCTTTTCACGCTTTTTTAAACGATATACCTAAACGAAAACACAACACAACGTCGCGCTTTTTACGCATGCTTTTAAACGTTTAAGCCAATAAGCGTTTAAACGAAACGACAATAAACTTTCACGCTTTTTTAAACGATATACCTAAACGAAAACACAACACAACGTCGCGTTTTTTACGCATGCTTTTAAACGTTTAAGCCAATAAGCGTTTAAACGAAAAAGCTTTTTTTCAAGCGCGCTTATTTTAAAAAGTACAACGTTTAAACGCTTTTAAGAAATAAGCCGTTTTTTCCATCTCTATTCAGTACATCGCACCACTTATATATCAAATTGATCATGTTGGCCACCTCAGACACCACATACACGACATTTCTAATATTGCAAGTTTCTCTCATTACGCGATCAAAAGAGTGAGCAACCCATTTGGTTTACTTTTGTTATTTTCAAGAGAAAATATGTTATCATCTATTTATCTGGCAGATAGTCTTTAAATTGCAGAAAACTTAGAATTCTTTACATATTTATAGTGTACTGCACTTGAGATTGGAGTTTGATATATATTGGATTTATATAAACAAGCTTTTGAATAACATGCGATACCATTAAATTTATTTAAAAATTATTTATGGTGCTCCCAATTTATCAACTGTCCTGCACTAAATTTTTTCAAACATTAATTGTTTCGATATTCCTTTTTCTTTTGAAATGTATTATAGATTACGATAGAACAACCGTAGTGATCGAGTCAACACTTCACACCAATCACCCTAGCCTTATAATGGGCATTGAAAGGCTTATGTTGAAATTGAAAGGCTAACGCCTAGAAATGCATAATGATGATGCATAGATTAGTATGATTTTGAATTCATATTTGTTAACAACCAAAACTTAGGCACAAATGCTCGTTTTTATCATACAATGATTTGCCCCACCGGGGTGAACCCAAGACCTCGGAGTGTGCGACACCTTAAAAACCACGTACATTTCACTTCCCAGCGGGGTACGTCAACATTCGATGTTCGATCTTTATAGTCTATTAAGTGGGTAGTTTATAGCCGATACTTAAGTGTGTACGCAAGCCATGAGCGGGTATGTTGCGTTGCGTTGATGTATGGATTTCCACGCGATGGAAGTAATGAATTATGTCAAGCGACATTTATTATATTTTCAATTTACTTATTTTTAATGTTTCGAATCGTTTACACTTTTACAGACCCCATGGTCACAAAAATAAATTATGAATCACGAATAGACTACATGTTAAATTATGCATAATTTGCTCCACTCGAGTGTCGTATGTTACCGGTGCTTACATAATAGTACGAACTCCATAAGCGAACATGTTCTAAGGAGAACATATATTAATATTCACGTAATGGAAATAATATATTATGTGTGATATGACCCCACAAGGGCGATTATAAGATTGATGAGGATATTTCTCTATCAAGGATGTTTTGTTACTGATACTTGTATGTGTAGGCAAGCCATGGAAGGCAAGTCCTTATTCATAATGAGTTCCATATGGAGGAAGCAAATCATACATAATATGCCCCCGCGAGGGGCGGTCATCACAGTTTTGGTAATATGCACGCCGCGAAGGTGGTTTGCTACCGGTACGCGTATATGTAAGCAAGGCATTAGAGCTGGTATTTCATAAGGTTTCACGTAGTGGAAACAAATTGTATATAATATCCACCCAGTGAGGGTGATTTGCTACCGGTACTCGTATATGTAGGCAAGGCATTAGAGGCATTTCATAAGGTTCCACGTAGTGGAAACTAATTGTACATAATATTCACCCCGCGAGGGTGATTTGCCACCGGTACTCGTATATGTAGGCAAGGCATTAGAGGCATTTAATAAGATTCCACGCAGTGGAAACAAATTATATATAATATGCACCCCGCAAGGGTGATTTGCCACCGGTACTCATATGTGTAGGTACGCCATGGGAGGGCATGTCCTGACACGCCTTGGGCTTCATGAGATGAAGCTTATGAATATCACTTGCCTCTGCGCGAGTTGCTCATTAGGTTGATGAAATGTCAATCACTTAAATCCATGACAAATACTTACTTAATTCGAGAAAAACAACCTCATAGATGGTATCTTATTAAGTGGTGCTTCATCACAGAGATCACTAACTTCTTAAGCAGTGCTTTAGTTTTTACTTTTTAGCTTTGTGCTAGCTGTAGAAGACCTAAGAAACGATTCTGTTATCTTATCACTTTCGTTATTAAAATTAACTGAGCAGGTGACTTCTCGCAATGATTCATTTTTATTTTAGAAATATGCAATTGCTGAAAGAAAATTAATGTCAGGAACGTGATATATCATAAATTATCATCATACTTCTTTACCTCGTTGTTTGTTTCCAGGTTGATAAAGCCTTTTTTATTTACGCAGGTAAAAATATTTTTACAGACGACGGCGCCTTTAAGAGGCACACCGCCGAACGGGCCTCACACCTGGCTCCCGCAAGTCTTACGGACCCCTCAGTGGCTACCCACCGAGGACCCCGCAACTCTTACGAGCGCTTTACGGTATAATATCCGCTAAAAAGTCCTGCGAATACCTCTACACTGCTTAGTGCGGAGCCGCAGGGTCCCCGTTAAGGATTCTACCACGGCTCCGCCCCCAGCAGCTTCCCGGCCTCGCCGGGGCTCCACGGCAGGGGTCTCCCGCGGTATTTCGGGGACCTCGCAGATGTGCGCAGGTAGGCCCGCACGTGGGGGCAGGGTACGCGGCCTACTGCCCTCCATACCGCCCCCCATCCGCTGCGGAGGGGACTCCAGGGCGTATCCGTCCAAGAACCCTCCGCCGCCCCCCCTTTGTAGGACAGAACTACTAGTGGGGGGCCGCCGTTCCTGGGAGGGGGGAGCGGGAGGGGAAGCGTAATTCTTTCCGTCCCTCTCCCCCCTCCCGGTCATCCACGTCTCCCCACGTAGGAGAAGAGGGGGGAAAGGCAGGCGACAGCATACGTGGGGGGGGGTCCGAGTGGCCGAGGCTACTCGGACATCCCCCTCTCTGAGGGCGTCCGTCCGGGCACCGCCTCAGTGGACACCTGCTCGGGAGGTTTGCCTTTTGTGACCGGGGGGTCACACCTCCCGCTCCCCATGATGTGGCCCGATGGCCGGCCACTCTCTGCGCACACTGCGCAGCAGGGTGGGGCAGCGCACAACGCCGCCCTATGCCCCGTTTTCCCACACCGGAAGCACAAAGTGCTCCGGTCTTCCTTCGCCGGGCACCTGTCGGCGACGTGGCCCCTGCCCATACACTTAAAGCAGTGCGTAGGACAAGCCAAGGACCGTCAAGCGAGCAAGGCTCCAGCCCACCTTGAGCCTGTCGCCCTCCGCCACCTTTTTTGCGGCGTCTACGGAGCATCGCACCTTGGCGAACCCTGTGGCTCCCGGTCCGGGGAGGATCTTCCCTATTTCCACCTTACAGGGCCGGCAGCCCCCCTTTTTCGCCACCGCCTGTAACAGCTCCTCCGTCGTGACGGACTCGTCCAGCCCGGTAATTCGCAGGTCGGCTAATTTCTCCGGCCTGCAGACCTCCACAAGACCCTCCATCGTCTCGCCAATCCGTCTCGCGAGGGCATCCGCCTTCGTGTGGCTGTCTGGCCCTGGGACCACCTCAATCCCCACCTCCTGGAGCCGCATCCTTCCTCTCGCCATCTCCAACACCTTGGCGTAGGTGACCCCTTCCTGCTTTGCTGCCGGCGTAAGCTTCAGGGTCACAGCCGCGGTGTTCGGCACCCTCAACTTTATCTTTTCTCCCTCCTGCCGCTGCACTTTCTGCGCTGGCGCCTTCTGGACTGGCCCCTTGTGCCCTGGCGTCTTCTGCGCTGGCGCTTGCGCCCTCGCCACCTCTGGCACCAGGGCCACCCCTGGGCCCACACCTTTCTTCCTGGCCTTCTTCTTGGCCACAGCACTCCAGGTATCCGCCGCTGCAGCTGTCTCCTTATCTGTGCCCCGCCAATCCGGGGGGGGGGGGGCAATCTCCCTTCCAAAGAGGCCAGCTGAGTGCTGACCATCTCCCCTATGGATATCATATGAGAGCGTTTCAGCTCCTCGGCGGCCTCTTTCCACTCCGATTTCTTGGGCTCTCCTTCGCCCACAACCTTGTCGTGGAGGGTCCGCACCTCCCTGCGCAGCTCCCCCACCTCCTTCACCAGGGCGGAGTTCTCCGTGCGGAGCTCCTCCACTTCGGCAACCGCATCTTCCATTTTCTCCCGGTACAGAGTCCTCTCCTCGCGGTACCGGCAAGCTCTCTCCGCGAGGGACCTTTCCGCCTCGGCCCAGGTTGATAAAGCCTGGACTATGATTATAATTTTCAATTTACATCAGCATATCATTTAAAATAAACGTTGAATGTCTTTCGAACAGAGCGTTCCTTTATCCTAGTTTAGTCACACGACTCATATGAGAATTTACGTGTATTGGTCAGTAAAAATGTTAGAACTTTTTATTCATAAGCCTTTAGATATTGATAGCTGGCCATGTTCAGAAAACGGCATATCGACATTAGAAATACCTTATTAAGATTGTACATAGTTCACTTACCCCTCGAAAAATCTTTTAATAAAGGGGCTAGAATATCAAGCTCGCTTATTTTTCTTGAGGCAGCGATGCCGCTTTCGTTATACCAGAAGACGACAAATTCAACCAATTATTACTGCAGCTGTTCGAAGAACAATAATGACTAGATCCACACATCTTGCTGTTTTTGCCAATAATGCCAGTCAGTCGGCGGCTGAAACGTCAATATTGACCGATATTCCTTCACTCAGTTTACTATAAAACAATTTAATTAAGTATTTTGTAATACATTTACCAATTTACTTTCACACTTACTTATACGGAAACATTAATTGAGTACCAAGAGAAAACACTCTTAAAATAGTTTTTATGATAAACGACCAAGACAGACGTAAAGTATTGCAAAATTTACTTTAATGTAGGTACTTTAATTTTTTAAACAAAACGCACCTTGAATTGCTGTCAAGTTTTACTCACGGCTTATTATTACTTTTTTAAACAAGCGTATTGCACAATTTAACATATTTGTTTTAAATATCCCTTATCACAAGGGCTGCAAAAACTATCAAAAAGAATAATAGTTTTACTTACGGTTCCTTCACTTTTAACACGTAAAGTACCTATTTGGAATAACACGAACGGCAAAAACCGTTAAAATAAAATAGTTTTACTTACAGTTTTATCACTTAATAATAATAAAACCTTTAAAATCTCACAACGATCGCTCAGATTGAGGACGTGTTGCTTCGACGGGAGTCAGAACTTATACTTACTTTACTCTTCGGTCAGAACGCCAATGAGTTAATATGGCGCTGTCAAAACTTAGGAAAACAAAAATGGCCGCGCTTCTGCCAGGTGTCGCCACTGGACCGGATACAAGGTGAATAAAAGTACGGAAACTGATGGTAATTCGACGGGAAACGGAAGTGCTATCTCAATATAAAGCTTTCAGTGACGCTCAAGTAGTTTAATACATTTTGTCCGAGTGCTATATTTTATCCCGATAAAATAAATTCCGCCCGTACAATGCCCGGGTGGATCACTAGTAAGTATAATATAATATTATACAAAATGTGTATTTTGGAAATAGATATCAAATAATATTTTAGTTTTGATTCACTATTTTAGCGATAATGACTTACACATTAAAAATAGATATATGGTGTCACGGACTTTTTTTTAGAACTATTTAAGAGATACATTTTCACTCTATATTACCTTCATGTAACTTTTATTGTTTTTGCAGTGCAGGCCAAAATGGCTCGCAGATAGGAGATTTGTTTCCGTCTTATGTGACACTAATTCTTATAATTTGGCCAATTCACTCAATAACTACATAAATTATTATATATATGTTATTATCATATATGAGCTAAATTACTGTTAAGTTTCATTAAAATCCATTCAGTATTTTTTAGGTGAAAGAGTAACAAAGATCCATACAAACGTAAGATTGAAATTAAAAGCGCAAGTGGTTTATATATATCTTTAAAGCGTTGTAGATCCTAAACAATTATATAAAATGAAAAATGGTGTTAGGAACCTAAACATGATTTTCGATTATCTGGACAGTGATACCCCACTTGACATATTTTGTCAACTTATTTTTTTTATTTCGTGACAATATGGCGCCTAATTTTGCCCATATTGAATTTTGATTACTATCATATCTTTAGTAGTCCCATGATTGAGACGAATCGATTGATGTATGAATCATCAAAATTGGTCCAAGCGTTTGGTCTCTAGTGTGCCACAAAGGAACAAACATACATATATAGACTGTTAAATACTATTATATACCCTGTCTGCGCGTCGCGCTTTGCGCTCTTGCATTGCGCAGTCGGGTAAAAAGCATAAATTATGGCCCACCAATGGACTTCTACGTCACAATCACTCTGTCGCGTTTCAGACGTTAAATTTCCCACGGGGTATTTGCATTTTCAATAATTAATTACTGGCTCAAAAATATTTTTTATTAAAAAATATTATGGAGGGACAATTCAAAAGAAAATATTTTTTTAAAAAAACTATCTATCCCAGCGAACTTCGTACCGCCATCAAAAAATAGGGGTTGGTGGTCGAAGGGTGAAAATTTAGGGTTGTATGTATTTTTTAAGATGCATCATAAAAAAATTAAAAGAAAAAAAAATTAAGGGTGGACCACCCTTAACATTTAGGGAGATGATAAATAGATGTTGTCCTATTTTCAGACCTACTAAATATGCATATAAAATTTCACTAAAATCGTTCACGCCGTTTCGGAGTAGGTACTTCAATTACGCACACCGTGACACAAGAATTCTATATATTAGATTTAGCCTTAATTAAATTATATGCATATTCCCTAGACATAAGCAGAATGTTATTTTTTTATTTATTTTAGTAAAAACCTTTGTACAGTGCCGGTGCATATGATGGTAAGCGATTTAATGAATTACTTACTTCTAAAGATACCTAGCTATATTTTTAAATGCCATACATGTAATACCTTTAAAACTATTATGTATATGGGATAAGTAGTTGCTGTTACCTTTTCGAGGACAAAGAAAAAATGCAAAAATATTTTGGACACGATTCAAAATGAGCCCCTATGTCACGGATGAAATAGACCGTTAATTCCTGATTACACTCCAGTTTCGGCCGATCAGGACACGAGCGGGTAACAAACGAACCATTTAACTAATTAAACCGGATTATTGGCGCGGCGGCGGTGCGATACTGGTAGCGAAAACAATTTGTTGATTTTCTGTAGCACTTTGTTTACATGTGGCTATACACCTAACTGAAATTCGCAGACAGTATTACAGCAGACGTTTTCGATTTTTTTTATTTCCTCCCAGGGGGGGGTGGAGCAGGTGTGAGATATATACGAGTATGTCAGACTCTTAATGACTAAAACACACCCGTAGTTCATGCTTATGGCCGGAAGGGCCTTACAAGCTTCATGTGAAGCGATCATCCCCTGAGGAGGATGATGCAGAGAGAGACGGATGACGAAGTTTAAAATGTAGTATTTATTTTTGTAAAAAATACACGATTACACGACACGCGTGAAGTTTACACGATTTCGCGTTTTTACACATGAAATTGTTGATGAAATTACGTCAACGGAGCTACTTTCATCGTAATGGAATTTCCGCTTTACCATAACACATGTCTTAGGGAGCTTATTAGCAAGACGATTTCTTCCCGCGTCTAGACACGGTTCTAAACCGTGTCTACGTGTGGTCGTAAGTTGGGTATGCAATACTATGGAGTTTTGTTAACGACAACGGCGGTAGCACCGGTTTGGGGTCGGTACAAACAAACGTACAAACCGTTCTCGTGAACAAGCTTAGCCGGCACCGGCCCGGGTAGAAACCGGCTGAAAACCGTCACGTTAATAGGCGTCCTTAATAGCGTTTTCTTTGAGAGTAGGCTAATTGGAGTGTGTGGAAATTTGAATATACATAATTACATAATTATACTTATATTCAATTGATAATTTGTTTCACTCCCTGTCAAAGTAATTCAATATTAAGTGGAAAACTCATTTTACTGAAAGTATTCTCGGAAAATATTTTATAATAAAATTCAAGAACATGTCTCTCTGAATTTGATTTATTGCGGTGAACAATACAAAGCTCGTTGGCCGAGCAATTACGTTAATTGTTTGCCATTAGGTTTAATTTTCATTAACCAATGAATGCTAATTGTTTCTGGCGCGCGCACCTTTGTTTTTGTATTTACTGAATATTTGCTTATACAAATCTGTTTCACAAATGGACCAAGTTCAATCAATATATATTACATTTTTGCTCTTTGTTTTTGTATATTCATGCGACAGGTGTGGCTAATCAACAAATAAATATATACCAATAAGGCCACGAAATAGATATTAAATACATAGATATTTATCTTTATTCCTTACAGAGAGTCCAGATCAAAATTGTAATTCAGACGTGATGAAACTTCGGAATCCCAGTGCTCTGCGTAGAAGACTTGTTGTAAGTATTTTAATTTTTATTTGCCCGTTGCGTAGCCGCACCGCAAGGCTGGCATTTCTTGTACTAGGAACTCATGGAGCGTAAAATT